GTGAGATATTTTCCCTGAGTTAATCAAAGGAATTCAAAGGCAGTTTAAATCTTTCAATTTTCTTTAGTTCATGGAGAAGATGAAAAATGTTTGACCTCCAGGAAACCAACTGAATTCATATGGTGGCTCTGTTGATAAATAAAATGTCCAACCAGACAGAATATTGATTACTGGAGTACTGTATGCTGAATCATAAATAGGACCATCAAAAGCAAGAAACTATCATAAAATACATCAGGGCATCTGAGGTGTCGGGCTTAATGTAAATAGATAAACAAGTTATATTAAGCTAACAAGACTGAGAAATAGCAAGGTGCCATTGCCCCATTGCATTATTCATGGCAGTGGTGGTGCCTCTGCACCGGTCACCCTTGCAACATCCATTGGTCAAAGTGGCACTGGCTTTGGGGGAGGCCAAAGCATCCAAGGGACTGGGGTTCTCATGGAAAGCTGGGCTCTCAAATCCTTTATCTGCCTGCACTGAGACTTTGACAGAAGGGATCTATTGGAGAAGGAAATGCCCATTTGTTGTCATTGAAGCTGTGTTTCTTTTTTAAGGGCAGACTGTGAATAAGACTTGCCAGCAGGTTGCTGAGGTGATCATCTCCTGCCTGAGGCAGAAGTTAGCCCAACAACAGCCACTCTCACCCAGCAGTGTGATCAGCATACAGGAAGGCACTGAATCATTACAGTTGGGAAAGACCTCCACAGTCATCTAATCCAGCTGTCAGCCTACTCCTACAGGGTTGGTGAGGTTCTCCCCTCCCTGGGCAGCTATGCTACTGTATCACCGCTCTGTCTGAGAAGAAATGTTTCCTAATATCCAACTTGAGCCTCACTGGAACAACTTCAGGCCATTCCTTCTCTCTGTATCGCTGTAACGTGGGAGAAGAGACCAACCCCCACCTCACTGCAACCTCCTGTCAAGGGAATTGTAGGGAGCATCCATCACCTCTTACCAGGGATAAGGTATGTGGGTATAGGACCACCTACCCTGTCTGCCAGATGGATCTCTTATCTTTGAGCAGGGTGGTGTGGGAAGCAAGAGGAGAGAGGAGAAAAGTAGAGGAAATGAGACATGAAAGACTTTGACCTACATAGAGCCACACTTCTTTTTGTCTTTCTTATGAAAGCAAGATGTGGCCAGTTCCACTGGGTATTGCACATGTTTTACTATCAGAGAGAACTGAAGATATTTTGTTAAAAGAGGTAATTTTAAATTTAAATTAATTCCTTAATCCTAGCAGAAGGTTACTTCCTAAGGAAAACTCTGAAATTAAAGATAACCTGCATCAACTTTACAATCAGTAGCAAGTTATAAAGTGACAGTTACAGACATACTTGCATGAAAGAAATTAAAATAAGCAACCTTTGCTCTTTATATATTTGTGCAAGAAGTGCTGATAAAATGCATAATCTATTTCATCCTTTTCTCTACAGAAAGTACACGAGATGCAATTAATTCCACGTACAGCAGCACTGCTGGAAGAAGTAATCATAAACCAGACTTAAGATGAACAACTTGGATAGTAATATTTTGAAGTCGAGATCTTTTTTGGACCTTTGGATGAAGTTCTGAGCCGCTCTGATTTCTTACATTAATTATATTATGTGTTCTGAAACAAGACTGAAAATAACAGATTCGACTCAAAGAGCAGTAAGACCTGCTTTGTTTTGCTTTTCTTGGAAGACGGTGGACTACAGACTGAAAGAATAGGTGCTGTTGGAGGTACAGGATGATCCTTAAGACAAACACAGGCATCCCCTGTTGTTATTGCTGTGGGAGGGTGTTGCTTTACCTCTGTGAGAAGAAACGACATAAACAGAGTGGGCAGAGGTAAGGTTAGTGCCATTCCTGGTAAGGGCTGACTTGGGAAATCTGGAAGGAAATGTTAAATGAGGAGTCCCTCTTGGAATGCAATAATTTATGCCATTCAGGTCTTATCCACAGTCAGGCAGTCTCACAGCGATCTGACAAATTACTGCATGATCTAGGAGATGGGTTATTAGCCTCAGGCCCGTTTGAAGGACTTTAATGTTGCTGGACATTTGGGTAATTAAGGAGATGAGAATGCACAAGCATCTCGTTGGGCCCACAGTTCCACCTCTGCACTGCATCTATGTGACTTTGTGCTTGTGAGGTGAGACAAAGTGGAGCTCTGTGGGGTCATGCACACCACTTCTAATCCTTATCCTCCAGATTATGGCTGGTGTGGTGGAGCCACTTGGTTCATCTCCTCACCACCTCTTCCCTTGGCCACTTCCCTCCCAGGTGATGCAGCTCGCTGTCAGCTGCTTTGTTCCAGCAGAATTACTGAGTGGGAGAATAATTTTCAAGCTAGCGAGGCTGGAGAATTAAATAGTGCTCTGGTAAACGTATTAAAAAAAGTAATTTTAGCTTCATGTCTAGCTGGGGAAATTGGATCATCAAGAAATAAACCTGTCCTTTTTCCATCAAGAGACAAATTAAAGTCATATCCTTGTGTGCAGGATGGGTACTCTCACAGATGGCATGCACAAAAGCAGGAGTCTGGACCACTTCTTCCTCTCTCTAAGCAAAGTGTTCATTATGGTAGGTGTTTTGTTGTTGTTGTAATTAATTAGTAATTATTTTCCTGTGTTCTTAGCTTTACCAGCTGGGTAAAGACTAGAAAGCAAATAAAATCGTGCTGACATCTAGTGGCTGCAGGGAATTTGCAATGGCATAAAGGGTGAGAATGCTGTGGCTCTGGACATTTAAACATGCTGCGCACAAAGCCAGGACATTAAACTGGAGCAAAGAATGAATTAAAACTGTACAGGATGTAATTATGCGACCAGACCCATAATTTAATTCAAGCATGTTTGCAAACTCTCAAGAACGCAAGCAATGATTGCAAGCAGAACAAGCAAAAACAAATTAATTTTTGGAAAGGCGTGTTGGTTTGTGATGAAACAGAGGAGAGTTTGCCTGGCAGGTTTTATGGCTGGGGGAGAAACTGGGGCTTTGAGACAGCGAGACTTTCTGGCTGCCACTTGATTCAGTATTCATGTGACTGTTTAGAGATGGGCTATTTCAATCCCTTTGGGCTCGGATCCTTGGTGGCTTCCACAGGGCCTTGGTTGGGTGAGATGTAAGCTGGGCTCCGCTGTGGCTCCTTGGTGGAAGGAGTCCACCACTGAGGTCCAGTTTTTAACACAGCGTGGTGGACAATGAAGGCAGTAGCTCCTTGAAAGCCCTAGCCTCATGGCTTGTCTGCGTGAGCAACTTTACTAGCATTTCTCCTGTAGTCAAAGGATAAGTGAATTAAAATAAATCCAATTATGGCTGTGTTTTCTCTGACGGAGTGCATCCACACGGGCTCGCCATCTGCTTTAACTAATCTGTGCTATGAATTCATGGCACTGTATTGTTTAAGTTAGTCTTCTGGGGTACTGCTGGGTAAACAGCAATTAAATCTGCTTAAAAAATATGATTTACGCTAATGCCTGTGTAAGGGTGTTTCGCATAGCTTCCGTCTGCTTTTGAGTTGTGCTCCGTGTAATCTTAACTTGGTTTTTCAATCATTAAAAAGAAGTGGGTGAAGGAAGTTCACAATATGCAGTCTCTCACTTAATATTGATAATTATTTATGTTGGGTTCTACTGAAAGGGCTCCTGATTGGCTCAAATTACACAGAAGTAAGCCAATGGCCTGACAAGAGATGTTACGAGCAGGGAGCTGCCCATGTTTAATGGGGCTTAAAGATGTTTCACCTTTAATTGAGCCTCTCCAATGCTTTTTATGTATGCACGGTCAGATTCCTAGATAATTTATAACCCTTCAAAACATGTAAGAAAATTCATAAAATTCCTTAAGAAGAGTTTGAGAAACTTGAGGAGAGTCTGCTGTAAATACAAAACCTGATCCAGGATGTCATTTTCATTACTTAGCCACTTCAGCCCTTTGCTTTCTCTATCCTTCCTCACCATTTTAATCAGTTATGTTGATGAAAGCCTCTCCAGCACTGTTGCTGGCAGAGGAACTCCAAGGGAGAGCTGGCATCATAGAATCATTAAGATTGGAAAAGACCCTAAGCTCATCTAGTCCAGTCATCAGCCCATCATCACCGTGCCCATTAAAGCATTGTATTGACAAGTGCAAACAAGGGAAAGGGTTGGGATTAGGGTGCTGCCCTAACACACCTCAAAACCTCTCCTCCTGCCCCAAGCAAAGTGCTGCTGTGACTCTACGTTAATTTTAATTCAGAACTAATAAGTCTCCAATTAGCACAGAGCTGCTTCTGCCTACCTGCTGCTCCCCTAACACAGGGATGGTTGTATGGGCAAGGTTCCCATTCATTTTCAGGATTAGCAGCATAGCCCTAACGTTTTTCTAAATTCATTGGCAGCACTTTCAAATCCCTTTAGCTCCTGATTTGTATGTCGCTCTCACTCATTAGGCAAAATATGGTGCATCATAGTGGGATAGATTTGCAGCGGAGAGTTTCCAAAGAGAGCACTCAGTGGTTCCAAATAATCAACAGAATTCAAAGGAAATGTAGGAGTTTTTATACTGTGGCTGGCAGAGAAAATGAAAAGAGCTTGACCTCAGGGGAATCAACAAAGCTCCTCTGGTGGCTACATGGAAAAATAAAGCGCTTGTTCAGAAGCATTGCTGCTCATTTAAGCTCTTTATAATGAATTCCAAATAGAAAAGCTCATCAAAGGTGAGACAGTGCTGATTGCAGAATGTAATGCATTCAAGCACCTGAGATGTAGTATTAATGTTGAACAGGTGAAAGAGGCAGCAACAAAAGCTGGTGTGTTGCTCTGTGCTGCTCTGCCCACTGCTCATTCCCTCCAATATTTTCAGCTGTGGCAGTGATTCCTTATCCAAAAGGATCTGATTTTCTTCCCCCTACTTTTCCATATCTTTGTTTATTTATTCACTAGAGAGAAAACCAGCATCTTCCCTCCCCTGACTGTGGAGTTCTCCTGGAACAGGAACATTTGACCCTCAGCTCCTTCTCCTCACTCACCAAAAGATGCCAGCAAAGAGCTTTGTTTTTACAGCTCAGCCACCAGCTCTGCATCAGGAACCTTCGTGCTGCGTTCTGGAGAATGGATTTTTCTTGGAAGTCCTGCTTTCAGTGCATTCCCCAGTGGGATGTGGTTGGGGTGAGTGACCTGTGTAGCATCAGCAGACAGAGACATATGGTCAAGGTGTGGGTATTCCCATACATTTCTCTGTTATTGTTTTTTTGTTTGTTTGTTTGTTTGCTTTCAATTTAAAAGATCCCATGCATGTTTATGCAGGAATGTGGCCCATAACATTTAAATTATATTCAGCAAAAGATGTGTACAACTCAGAAATCATAGGAGTAACAATTTAGGGAAATTGAGAGTGTGCGCTTGAGCTGACTTGGAAGAAATATATTCTGTAAGAATCTTTAAGGTAACAGAAAGATGCTCTGCAGACATACCTGGGCTCCTACCCCTGTGTGATTAACTGCAGTGCTGGGAGAACGCAGGCAAAGTCTAGGATGAGGTCTGTGCTCTGTTGCCATGCAGGACACCCAAGCAGGGCAGCAGCTGGCTGTTGGGCGCATCGCTGATGCATTCTGCACGAGGAGCTGCGAGCAAGCAGAGCATGGGGAATCACACCGGTTCGGTAAGGCTGGAGACAGTAAAATTACAGTGACATCTAGTGCTCATAAATATTTCACAAAGGTGCCACGAGCGAAAGGAATTAAACATTTATCGCCAGGGAGCGTTTTGAACACATAACATGCAAAATCAGATCGTTAACCAAGGGCAGCAGTGAGGCGGGATACAAATGGGGCAGATGATGGGAATTAAAGGGCTGAGGGGATGCTGCCAGCACTGGGGAGGCTGTGGGTGGGTTCTGTGTGGATCGTGGCTGGGGTTGTATTTCTCACTGCTTCTGCAGAGTTTACTGATGGTACTAAATCATAGCGCGTTCCTCTAAAATCACCTCGATGTTGTTGAGGCTGGGAATAGGACTAATATATGATGTGCAGCTTTCTAGAGCACACAGCGGTTTCCAAGGGGAGGAAAGCAAAATGAAAGCTGTGCAATGATAGGGATGCACTGCATGGACGCAACTCTTCCAAGCCCTGGCCCAAGGCTGAAGGGATGGTAAAGAGGGATGAGCAGCAATAGGGTATCGCTGCAGACATGGCTGGGGCTGCAGCATTGGTCTCTGCAGCATGCTCTGGGGCTATGTTTTGATTTACATGTAGGATTAGAAGGTGTTTTATGCAAGTTTGCAGATGAAGCTAAATTAGGAGAAGTTGTTGGCCCTGTGCAAAGTGATGGAAAATGACGGTGGGGTTAGCAGGAGCAGCAACCTAGAGTGGTAACTGATGCACTTAGCACATTGATTTTGTGGTTTGAAATTGGGTAGCTTTGTGGCCTCGTAAACAAGCAGTCAAATTTTCTTACAATGAAACATTCAGGAGAGCCTTTGATAAATTTGCAGAGGAAGCTCCTGTTCAATGGCAGGGGCCTTTCAGAGCGTCCCCAGCAGCCGTGCAGCCCTCAGTTATTGCCAGAGAGCAGCATATTTACTGCCACCGATCTCAGGTGCATAAGGGAGAGACAAATTCAAAGATGGGATACTTCGGCTGCCTCTGAGCACTGAGTGCCAGCACCAGCATCAGGAAATTACAGATGGCAGCCATGTTAACCACTGGGTTGCTGTGATCTTCTAGAGGGAAGTAATGAGCCCTGAGACTCGAGCTTTTGCATGGCAGTAAAGCTCACAATACTATACTGCCTATAAAATTATTAGTTAAGCTGGTAAAGGTAGGGATTGGTTAAGAACAATAGCAAAGCGGGTAAAAACTGGCAAAAGAACAGTATGAGGACTGGTGGTTGCTTGTAGTGCTTGCCTTGTTCTTCTGTGGGCAAAGACGTGGCCTCCAGCCACTTCTCAATGCCTGTTTCTTACTACAGCTCCTGTTGAATATCTGCTTTGGGAAGGCTGGTGACAATCTTCCAGCATGACAGCATCCTCAGCATCTTCCTGGGAGGAAATACTGACCTGGATTGTAGCATTAATTTGTGACAGCGTGATGATGCAGCATGGAAATTAGCTGCTTTTTACCTTATGGGCTGGAAACGTACAGAAGTGGTGCTGCCAGACTCGTCACCTCACAGTAAAGGCCAGTCTGAAGTTTGAGTGGTCAAGGATCTAACTGATACTTGCTGGGAAAATAATGCTGCTGTGGGTCGGGGGCTGGAGGTGGTGCTGCAGAGGGCAGGATATGGCATTTTGCAGAGGAGATGTGGGAAATGAGAACATGTTCAGAGGATGCAATGGAGAGCAATGCAGGTGTTGGAGCAGGGAGCCATTGCAGCCCCTGGTGCCTGCTCTCCCATGGAGCTGCGTGTGCTGCATACCTCCCACTCTGTGTCTGTGCTGTTCATGCTGGCCCAGTCCCTGCAGTGCCACCTTGATGTGACATCCATGTCCTTCAGCACTGCTCCTGAGCACAGCAGAAAGGAGAGGCAAGAGTTGCAGGTTGCCACAGTAACCCCTGCTCCACCACCTTTTGCTTCTCCACCAGGAAAATACATCGCTCTGCAGACACCCAGCTCCATGCTCATGATTTATACTCATTGTGTTTGCACTGGGGCTACTGAACGCTGAGGGCTGGTGTAGAAGACCCCTGCAGGACCAGCTCCATGCTTCTGAATCCCCATTGCTTCCAGATCTCCTTCATGCAGCCAAACCACCTCGGGTGAGTCTGGGGGGTAGCACTGTGAACCCAGAGCATCTCCGCTGTTTTTTCCCTGCTCCTGATTCAGCAACAGGGAGGAGGACAGTGGTGTCATCCCAAACGTGCATGATTTCTGTGATGCATGATAGTGAATTATAATGAATGTGTTTTCTGAAGATGCAAGTTTCTGCTGTCACTGTGCATCTCTGTTTCCTGCTCTTCATGGAGATAAAAGGTTTCCCTCCCACCTACCTTTCCAAAACCTAAAATATCTGAGCAGCGGGAATGACAGAACTCATGTAATTTTTCCTCGTGTTGTGTGTTTCCAGGCTGACTGCCTGAAATAGGGCTGAGTGTCATTCCCCCTGAACTCAATGAGAGCCTTCTCACTGAAACAGCAGCTTTCTTTTGGAGGAGATTTTTTGGAGAAGCAGGCTGAGAGCCAGGTGGGGATTTCGTTTTTCACAGCTAATATATGCGTGTGTGTATTTCTATATATGCATATTTTCCTGTAATACAAATTAGATCTCTATATGGAAAACACATGAATTAAAGCCAGTATATTTTCTGTTTAGGCCAATTAAAGACTATTTCCCTTTGAGATGCTCTTTTGGTTGCTTTATATCCCGCTCACAGCAGTGTTTTTTCCCCACAGTATTCCTTCAGGTAAATGCTTCTCCTTCCATCAGTGCACCTGTGGATTAGCTGTGAGTAATTTCCTCTTGAAACATTTTGCAAAAATATTCTTTGCACATGGTAAACAGGTTTGAATACCCAGGCTGATAATGATAGAGGCTGACAATGATAGAGCTTGGTGCCTTGCAGGCCCTCTTTGTGCAGGTAGGTCACACCTGTACAGCTGGATTGCATGTGTTGGTCACGGACTGTTTTCTATACTCATTTGGCAACAGTACAGAGTTTTTGCAAGTGATCAGTGATTTAATTTTAAAGGTATCTCTTCTGGTTTTTGTATTAAGACCAATGTAACAACTTTATGGTCAGATGAGGCCTTTCTATCCGTGCAAAAAGCATTGCCCTGCTATTGCTGCTACCAATGATGGTGAAAATGGATGGAAATTGGAGAGAATCTCAACCATGTCCTTCAGGGATGAGTACTGCCCTATACACCTCCTCCTTTGATCATGGGCTCTGCTGTGGATGCCCATTTTGCCCACTGCAGCTCTGTGCCAGAGCAGCAGGGGAAGAAATGCCCTGTGTGGCTCTGACAGCGTGACCGACAGCTCTCATTAGAAAATGTGAAATGAAAGCAGCTCAGGGTCCAGCCTCGCTGAGGCCCATTACACATTACACTGTCACACTTCCCTTCAGCAATTACAGCTTAACGTGATGGCATTTATTAACTGCTTAATCTTGGAAGTGTATATATCTGCACAAAAAAGCTGGGAGAATGGAATATATCCAGTGTCTAGGTAGGATGTTGAAATGAAGAGAGAAAGATTAACGCCCTGGGTCTCCAAAGGTGCTCTGGGGGCATATTGTGTATTGATTTTGGAAGGCACTGCAGTATTTTTGAGGCAGTGGATGCAATGGTCTGATGAAGAGGGAAGGAGGGAGCTCATGTGCTTTTTGCAGAGCTGAGATTTGAAACTGACATCTGAGCACCTGCAGCACCACTTATGTGAGCTGCAGCAGGCTGCAGGAGGACCCCCAAGCTCCAATGGTTTGAATGGGAAGAAATCTTCTCTCTTGGCTGACGGTGGTTATGGGGATAGACTGCACTAGGAGGATTTGCCATGGGGTGGCTGCAGATGGGGATGTCCAGGCCGTGGTTTCAGGTTTTGTTTCTGGTTAGATATATTTCTCCTTTGAAAATATTTACACGTGACTTCACTGATGCTGACTTTACATCCCAATTGGTAAGGAGTGTTTTGGGCAGTGCGTTTGTAGGCTGTGCTGAGGGGGAAGCTGGTGGTAAGGAGAGGGATGCAAGCTTGCCAATGGCATAACCCCAGTAATGCAGTGTGAGACCAGCCAGGGCCTGCCCAGCTCAGAACGAGCTCCCTTCCTACCTGTCTGGCACCTCTTTTCTCCCAGCATGGCCATTGGACTCGATGGGGGTTGGACTCAATGATCTCTGGAGGTCCCTTCCAACCCCTACAATTCTGTGATTCTGTGATTGCTAGAACTCAGGATGCTCAGCAGCTCCTGGCCAGAGCGAGACTGCTGTGGGACAGATGGGCATGAGCAGTCGGGTCTGGCCAAGGGACACATGAGCTCTGCTCCTTCCCAGTTCCCACCTTGTGGCCACCAAACCCCTCTCTGGGTGGCAGACAAGTCTTCAGCACAACCTCCATCATGCCCCTCCACTCAGCCTTGCCAAGATGGAGAAGGACGCGTTGAGGGTGTGATCACTGCTTGTGAAATGGAGGACAACTTCTGCTTCCCCATACTCATGCTGGAGCTGGCAGAAGCACAGGGAATGTAGGATGGCCCAGGGTGCTGGGGACACATGCTGTTGAGGATCTAACTCTGTCCTGTCCACCACAGCAGTCGTGATCCATGGGAAAATAAAAGCCACGTAAATGGATATATTTTTCATCAAAGCAGCTATTTAAAATGAGATAAAACCGTTCATGTAGAAAAGCTTATTGTTCCCCCTGAAATGGAATTTAACTGACTTATGACCACTTGCATTTAAGAGATTTATGCTGAAACCCTCTGGACCGAAAGGCCCTGCAGGCCAGAGTGGTCTTCTTGGTCTGCATTAGCATGCTTGGTGTTAGCTTGTGTGAAAAACCTCATATTGGCAGGGTAAAGATAAAGAGAAGAGAGAATTTTTGACTCTCACCAGCTCTCAGAAAGACGTCTCAGATGATAGAGATGCTAAAACTGAGATCTTGTCTATTCTCTGCCAAGAGAAAGCCAAGCAATTCAAGCACAGCTACCACCTTCCACGGGTAAAAGTCACTGCTGCCATTGCAGGCTCTTTCCTTGGCCCATCGGAGGACTCCTTGCAGCACCCAGACTGCATGTGAGGGATGCAAAGAGGAGATACGCAGCCACAGCTGCTTGATATGCAATATCAAGGCAATGAATACGAAGCATGAGCTCTACCATTATAAATATTGCTTACAGGCCATGAATATTATTTACTACTCACATATTAGAGTGGCATACAGGTATTAAAATCCCTCTGGAAATGGTGGGATAGGGCACACTGCTCAGCTTGGGATGTGTAGCATTTTATTTTGAGCAGCCACTGAGAGTTCAGCAGTATGGAAGAATTGAAAGCTGTGTAAGAATTTAAGATTTTATTCCATTTAAAACATGTCAGATGTTCTATTAGTTTAAAAGCCTCTTTTCTTTCCTCCCACCCCAGACCAGCCAGATGAGTAGAATACCACACCATTTCTATATTAAGCACCCAGCTAACATAATAATCTGTACTTTGTTACAGAGCCCATCGCAGAGGGCACTACAGTGGGAGCTGCTCAACGGTGAGTAGACACTCAATTGCAAAACACTCCCCTAGCCAGGGTGCATTAATGCTTGTATTTCTCCAAGCAAATATTGCAGCATGTAATGCTCTGCTAAAGGGGGGAGGGAAGAATATTTGATGCAGCCTCTCCGGAGAGTCAGGATGAGAGAAAGATTTCAGTAATAAATTAAATGCTGGCGGCAGTTTAAATGAATAAATAAATAAAAGCTATGTGCAATTACATTGATGCTCTTCTGGAAAATGCTCAATGAGCTTCAGCTCCTGCCAAGTTTGGGAAATTGAGTTACGGGTCATCGCTGGTCAAGTGCTCTGTGCGACGTGGGCTGGGCTTTGCCCTTTGTCACTTTTGAGGACGGACTCAAGTGGGGCTTTATGCATATCATGGCCATGCTACACAGCAGCAGTAATTGCATTTTATTGCCCTGCTAAGCCTGGAGTGAGCCATGATGATATGACACAGAGCTGAAATGGAAAGTCTGTGGTAGGGCTTTCCGGTTAAGAGGAACCTTATCTTACCTTTAGTCCTCTGATCTCCTTGGGTGCAAGCAGGTAGGATGAGAACTCTTGGTTTTAAAGGAGCAATGACTCCAGGCAAGGATTGTGGCTGGGTTTGCATGCACAGTGCGGTGATGGGACCTTGGACTTCTTCTTAGTATGCTCCCCCCAGCACTACTGGTCTCCCTGCTTGTACTTTGACTGCTCTTTGTTGAAATGACATGTGAAAAGAGAATGGAATAGCCCATGTACAGCAAGCTCTACAGAGGGAACGTGAGGCTTCTCTTTTCATCAGGTTGGACATGACCAGAGGAGCCCAAGAAAGGCAGGTAACTTGCTACTTGAGCATCTCTCACCTTGGGCATTGGTTCTGTCTGATTGGGTGAAACACTGGATGCTGATGGGATGATAAAGAGGCACATTTTGATATGGCAGTGGAGCTGTGTTACCACAGGCATCTTGGGTCTGATTTATCATCTCTACCAGTTATCACAATAAATCAGTGCTTGAACAAAACTTGCTAGTGATACTAAATATGAAGGAGGGACTTAACAGAGAAGAATCCATCCGTGTATATTGAGAATTAATAAGTCCTAACTTGGAAGAATGCAAGCAACGTGTACCGAGAAAAGCAGTGTGAAGCACAGTGAGGGGATGGAGTTCCCCACGTGTTCACACTTCATATTCACCACCACAGCATCCTTAGATGCTAAACTGAGCTGAGATCAAAGCAGGCACACTGCTGGTCCAGCCTTATCCTGTGAAATTTCATTCTGCAAAATCTGCTGTAATAATAAATTTAAAAAAAAAAAAAAAGCAAACAAGCATGTAAATTAAAAAGTGTGAATTAAGCAAACTCTGAAGTTAGGGTGTGGGCTGACTGAGGCAGGGGCTTACAGGTGCAAGACCCCATGCAGAAATCTCGCTGCTTTTCAGACAGAATGAATGCAAGGATTCTTTCCCACGTACCCAAAGAACCAGTAAGCCAGGACCCAGGGTAAGTTTATATCACTCACGTGCATTTGGCTAGATAGCAAAACAAAAAAGCTCGCCCTTTTCTTCTTAGCCCGACATTTGCTGCTGGCAGCATGAGACAAATGAAAATGTCAGGCAACCTCTGCTCTAATAAAGACCAGGTTCTGAATGTGGATGGAGTCAGTGCTGTCACTTTTTCGCTCACTCCAGCTCTTGTGCTCCACCCTTTTCTTTTTTTCTTTTCTCCTCCTCTTTCAGCTCTTGCAGTCTGACAGAGGCGGGTGGAAGCAAGTTGAGAGAAAGGACATTCCCCAGGAAGGGAGCTGGGCAGTCCTCGACCCCGTGCTAAGTAAAGGACAGCCAGCCACGCCACTTGCTTTTGCCTAAAATAAATCCCCCCCAAGTCCCAGGAGATTCGTTTGCAGTTGAACTGATTTTGCAGGTAAGACCTTTCTTTAACCCCTGAATTTAGGCAGCTGAACTCTTCCTAACCAGGAAGTGAGATACGTCTGAGAGCAGCAAACAGCCAGGTTGTGTAACAGCAGAGCGAGCAACGTTCAGCTGCTTACCAGTGCCTCCTTTTGTGTCAGTGTAACAGATTATTTACGTGGTTATCAGCCTACAACATTTGTTTGAGCATTTGTGCCATCTGACTTATTTCAGATTCAGCTATGGCTTTATAAGGAACCACAAGAAGCAGACAGGAAGACAGATAAACTCTTTAAGGCCAATGTTTTCCCTTTAAGTTAATGTAAATATTTCACCTACTTGGGCAAAGTGAAGGAAAGGAAGAAAGAAAGGGGTGTGGGGATGAGGGGGGAAGAAGCACAGTGCTGGTGATATCAGCTTTAACGCTCCCACTGCAAGCGCTGTAGTTGTGACGTTCAGAGGAAAAGCTTGGGAACAAGCCAGAAGCTGAACTAAGAGAAGGCCTGGAATAATGATTGGATGCTCTTAACCCAGTGTTTGATAACTCAGGCCTGCTGGTTGAATTTCATATACCTGTCACAGTGTAATAGTGACGGATTTCTGAACATCTGTATCCTGTGAACACCCTCTGCTTCTCCTGGGACACTGCCAAATAGGAAGCTTGTGTTCTCACTGCTTTGCATGTATACTGAAACTATCTTTCCCAAACTCCCATACAATTTACTGTATATTGAGAACTTAACCCTGTTGCAACAGTTGTAGATTTTCTCATGGTTTTACCTTAATAACCACACATGGATACCATGTGAGAGCAGGTCCATGACCTGAAGATTAGTGCTGTGCACTTGGATCCATCTGAGATGCAGTGGTGCCAGGCTGGGATAATAAAGATATTGTGGCCACGTTCACAGAAAGAGGGGGAGTGCTTAAGATGCTTTCTTCCCCCCTGCTCACGCAGGGCAATGCTTACAGCCCTAAGTAAGTACTCCTAGTTACATCTGCTGCCATCAGCACTGAGAGCAGAGAGAGCAGATACATCCTGCCTAAATCATGAAGACCACACTATGGGCAAACAGATTAATTTCAGACGTGGTTGAAGACAACGCTCTGGCTTGCACTGTGGGGAAGAAGCTGGGGGGGGAGGAAGGGAGGGGTTTATTTTCTACTTCTGCTTTGCTGAGTCAAACCATGTGCAAAGCAGTTCAGAGCTGGAGAATTTCAGTTCCTATAATTTTTAGCAGGAAAACAGAGCTGCTACTGTTTTTGTTCCTTCCTACAGAGATTTGTAGCTTTGCTGGGCAGGAACTCTCTGCTGAAATGTGCTTAGCACAGCTGGAGCTTCTCATCACAGCTGTAAAAGAAACAATTAAAAATAACATTTGTGCTCATCAGTAGTGCCCCATTGACTTCCCCCAGTGCTAATACTTGCACTCAGCTGCCTTGGATAGGGCCATTTGTCAAACCCCATTCCTCTTCTGAGTGGGTTGTTTCATAACAGGGCTGTCATCAATATAATGGATGAGGAAGATCCTTCCTTTACTTCTGGCACAAACTATGGTGTTTTGTCACCCTTTTCTCCAAGGCAGCATGGACATCAAGGAGTATTTTGCCAGAATTTCTTACCGAGGCTCCCATGATAAACCAGACCTGGAAACCCTGACAGAAATATTCCGGCACCACATCCAAGCAGTTCCTTTTGAGAACCTTAGCATTCACTGCGGGGAAAGCATTGAGCTGGATCTAACAGCCACTTACAACAAGATAGTGAGGAAGAAACGTGGGGGCTGGTGCATGGAGAACAACCACCTCTTATCTTGGGCCCTGAAAACCCTAGGGTACAATGTCACCCTTCTGGGAGCAAAAGTTTATGTCCCGGAGCACGATGCATACGCTGATGACATTGATCATCTGTTGCTAAAAGTGGTGCTTCATGACAAATCCTACATTGTGGACGGTGGTTTTGGGATGGCCTACCAGATATGGCAGCCGATGGAGCTGATTTCGGGGAAAGATCAGCCTCAGACACCCGGCATCTTTCGCTTCCTAGAAGAGAATGGGACCTGGTACCTTGAGAAGGTGAAAAGGAAGCAGTATGTTCCCAACCACAGCAACACTGCTCCTCATAACGTGGACAAAGAAGTTTGCCGTCGAGTTTATCTCTTCACCCTCCAGCCCCAAGACATAGAAGAGTTTAGAGCCAGAAATCTGTACCTGCAGACTGCCCCAGACTCACTTTTTGTTACAAAGTCCATCTGCAGCCTGCAGACCGCCGATGGGGTCCGGGCACTCGTTGGGTGGAAGCTTACTGAGATAAAGTACAATTACAAGGATAACATGGATCTGGTGGAAATCAGAATCCTTGCAGATGAAGAAATGGAGAAAACATTGAAGGAGAAATTCAATATAATATTAGATAAGAAATTTGTACCCATCAATACAAGCAGGTTGTCTCTGTTTTAACTCACTGCCTGTATTATAATTCAATATGGTGGCATTACGCGAATTCTCCCCCCTCTTCCTGACAAGAATCTAAAGGTTAATCTTTCTCTTTCCATTTACCCCAGCATAAGGCAGAACAGATTAGCATGAATCAGGAAAAGCAATTGATTTTCACAACTGTTCCTGCATCTCTCCTTGGTCTGGGTACAAATAATTTCTTCCTCACTCCATCAAATCACTCCCCTTCTGTTTGTGCTTAGCTGGCAACAGATGCTGCCCATTCCCTGCTCCATTCATCTCTTAAAAGCTTTTCCCACTAACCCAGAGCAGCAGGGGCAGGGAGATGGAACAGTGTGTCCCTTCCCTTATTACTTAGCTCTACCACCTGGGGAAAAAAAAAATATCACACCACATCTTAAATTAATGCCATACTATTTTTTGAAATGTAATAGCCAGAAAAATAAAGACATCCAATGCCATTTGCTACCCTAAGCCTGTCCTTTGTGCTCCTGCATCCCTCGCACTTTCTCACACAGCAATTCTAACACTCACTGAGGGGGCTATTTGTGGCTTAAAACTGGTGATGAGAAATATTAGGGGACAATTCTGCCTTCTTTCAGATTTCTGTACCCTCAGCAACATAACTAAAGCTTTCAAACTGAAAGCACCTCCTGTGGATTGTTTGTGAGCACCCAGGAGAGGACTGCTGGAAATGCACCCTCCTCACACAAGGCTGTCACTTCTATAACAAACATTACTGCTTGTCAGTTAGTTTCTCCAAAATGTATGTATTTGACTGCTTGTAGTGATTCTAATTATATTGATAGAAGGAGAAATGATGAATCTTAGTCAGATACCTAAAGGCTAATATTTTTAGCATGAGGAATTACACAAATGTAATCACTTTGCCCTGTGAGATGATGCTTGATGTCCCTTTATGTACAAATCACACAGCATTACAACTATGCACTTACAGTTAATAACGTAAGCCAATTACAATTAAATAAAAAGACAAGAACTGTGAAGTATTCAATCTGTTTGTTCCTCTTGTGTTACAACCTCTAATCCCAAAGAAAAAAAATGACATTAATCACCACAACTACCCCGACTGCCTGCATGTGCTGATGTTTTACAGCTAAGGCTGTTAGAAATGCAGTAACTCACTGACCCTCCTTTTTTACTATTTGTTTGTTAAGCAATGTGTGCAGCTTCCTGCAACTAGAAATTTACAGTTAGCAAAAGCTACTGCTGTTCTGCATCTTCCAAAGGCATTTCACAGAGACACAGCTAGCTCTCAAATGCATCCGTATGTGTTTGGATATAAGCATGCACACAAGGCTCCCCATATCCTATGGGGAAATGAGATTTTAACCTCGAAGTAAATTGCAGAAGAAAAAGGGGATTGTCATAGGGCAGGAGTATCCTGTCATGCAGGTGGTCAGCAGGAACCAGCCCAGAATCTACTGGATGCACAAATGAGTAGCGTGAAAGCAGAGATGGAGGAGATAACCAGAGGAGGCTGCAGCAGGAAGGAAGCTGTGGCCTGGAAGCTCCTTGGTCCCTGCCTGGCTATTTCTCATGCTTTGGGTTGGTTTGTTGGCTCAGAGGAAAGGCTAAAGGGTTAAGCTCATTGCCCCAGAGATGCCGCACGTGAAGGGCAAACAATGACAGAGAAAAAGTGCTGTTCTTTCAGCTGACTCAGCTCCAGAGGTCCCTGCCCTGGCTGCTACCTGCTGGCCCAGCTCAGCACTGCCAGCCCTGACGAATCACATGCAGTTGTGTTGGGAGAGGAGAAAAAAAAGACTGCTCAGCTCAGATTTCACTAGTTTGCTTTTTTCCTTATCAGAGGCAAAGTCTTAAAGGCCTAGAAGGCTTCAGCAGCACCCTACCAGCTGTGATTAACCCTACTGCTGCCACCTCCTGTCTACAGGTCAGTGACTTGCTTGGCTTGGCTTAGCAGCTCTCAGTCCTAAATTACTTCCTGCAAGGATCCTTGACATCAGTGTCACTGACATATCAAATGTTGCACTCTTGCTTGGCTGCTTTGGCATGGGTGCTCCAAAGACTGAAGCACTGAGGCGATAGGGATTGCAAATGAGTGACAGCCACTTGCAAAAGGTGCTCATGCTACCTGTAACGGATTGCTGCCTTGCATTCCTGAAGGACTTTTAGCTGTCAAACAGTAATTTGGGAGGTTTAAGCCTACACGATATTATAAGCAGTCTGGGGGAATGCATCATGTTCTGGCTCTTCATATAGCACCTACCACAGTTAATTGTATGGCAGGGCTTTCTGTGCCTATGCAAAAAATTAAATAAAAATTTTTTTAAAAAAATCAAGTAATAAGACCATTAGAACATACAATATTATAAAACATTAAACTAATCTGCCTTCCTGTTCTGGTTCTGCTGGAGGAGAATGCTATCTCTGTCAGGCAGAAAAAGTAGCCTCAATCTTTAAGGGCAGCAGCTCTCATTGCAAACACTCCTGGGAACTTAGCAGCTAGCCAGCCAGCCTGCAGCTCCTAGTGCAGAGGTAAGCACCCACATGTCTGAGCTCTCGCTTCTGCATGTAGCTGTGGACAAGCCTTCTGCCACCCCCGTGCATCTGCATACCACATGCTTTGCACTGTAGGCATATTAGCAAAGTGTGAATTACAGCCACCTGAGGATTGACAGTGTGTGTAGCACTGCAAGGTCGTTGCCAAAGTACAAAGATCAAGTGCTTGAAACAAACTCATTTTATGCTGAGCCAGGGTGTATGAAAAAACCAGCTCCTGTCCTGCAATTCAGCTTAAAATTAAATACATTGTATAGGGACGTGCAAGAGGATCTTACCTTGGAAGTCTCTCTTGAATTCTGGTAGGGAAGAATCATTCTGGTTTTGGATGCAAGCCATTCCCTGGGTGAGGGTTTGCACTGCTATAGCCCTGCTGTGGTGGGCAGTGGTGCTGTGTAGAAAAGGAAGTCTGCCTCCAGGAAGCTGTGAGAGCAAATAGCAGTTTACATGGCTGCTACCTGCCTACATTCACTAACAACGACTCTTTCATACTGCAGCCTTATCCTACACAGATATTTCAGTAGCAGTAGATACCCGTCTCTATTACACAGTTGTTAAACTGATGAGGTCCCGAGCTGAGGAAGCTGTGGCACAAGCTTTTGCTACAAGTTCCCCAAGCCCAGCTGCCTGTGCCCCATGTAGGCTCCCAAAGGCTCATACACTACAGGGATCCTAATGCTGCAGATGGGCTGCAGGGCTCTGGCTCACAACAGGGATGGATGGGCACTTACTTGAAAGCCACTGCCAAGTTTATGAGATTCACCAGGCTAAGGGACTCACTTGGCTCCTCCTGGGCACAAAGGTGCAGCTTGACACCATCATAAGAATGAGATGCTTCTATCTGGCTATGCAGAATTGCTGAAAATGAGAGTAGAGAGAAAAATGAGGCAGAAAACCAAAGGATGAGCTTCGCAGCACGCACGTCTGCATCTATTTGGTGGCATGGCTCTGTACAATCAGTGTTTCCTAGGAGATTCTGCCAGAGATGAGTGCTCTTGTCCTTAAAAGAGATGAAAAAAAAAAAAACCAAAAAAAACCCACACAGAATGCAGTATCAAATACAGGTGTTTTTTTTCTTCATGTGGCCTCTTTGGGTCCTTCTGAAGCTAAAATGTTTGTTTCTTATTCCCTTATTGTGATAGTACTCTGTTTTATCATATTTTCCTGTGTCACACAGTCTGAATCTTGGTACTAGTGCAAATCAGCAGAAATACAACTAAGTGTGTTATGCTGATGGCTTCAAAGTTGGGGCTAAGGTCTAGAGATAAGGTCATATGGCGCGCTCACCTTCCAGGACAAGGGCATTTTCATTTATGTGTTCAAAATTTATGTGATTTTCAAAAGCTCCCTGCACTCTCAGAAATTGAATCTAGCTGCTGGTCATTTCTAGGAGAGCAAGTGGACCAAAACTGAGAATGGTTGCTGGGAGGTGATCTCTCCCATGTCATCTATGTCAAAGAATTATTGGAAAATCTTCTCAGGGAATGTATGAGTGATTTCAAGGAGGAAAAAAAAAATCTTCAGACCTTTTTGGAACTTCATACAGTCCTTATCAGATTATAAATCATTCTGGGGGAAAAAAAACACAAACATATTTGGAATGGAAAAAAAAGCTAAATGAAATGGAAATTAAAGGCAAAACAAATCCCTACAGACACCAAATCAGTCAGTGGATTAAAAGTCTTATAGGGAACCTTTTGCATCTCTGCTCTTTCTGCTAATGAAAAGAAAGGGAATGAGAGACACGAAGACACAAAAATATATGCAACAATTTGAGCTGAATTCTTTGGTTTGTAAAAGATAGCAAAAGAAACCAAAAGTCACTGGATGCGTCCTGAAGGTGCTTGAAGTAATTATGAGTTCTCCTGGCTTTTGGGTAGAAAAATTAACAATCCCTTCTTTTTAACAGACAGAATCAAAGCTGTGTCTGAACTCCACAGGAAAACTAAAGAGATTAAGAACAACAATTTACTTCGCATGGAAGCTTGTCTGAAATAGTGACACATTGAGGAGTTTATCCTGGTTAGCTAAAGCCATGAATGTGAAAGTCTCCTGTTAACTTATCTGTGTGATAAAGAATTACTTAACAGTTACGGTAAAAGCAGTAGTAAAGCATTGCAGTTACTAATGCTAGCGTAGGCTAACAGCTTGTTTGCAAACCTCATTTGCCAGTTTCCTAAAATTTTGGTCACGTGGACATTCATCCAGGGCCAAAGATTCTGTTATGCCATGTGCTGTGTTTTCCTGTAGCAGAGACACCCAACTGTGCTGAAAACAATTTCTGAGAGATAAAGCTTTAGTGTTACCTGCTTCCCTTCTTGTCTCTTTAAGAAATATAGATGACAGAAGCAGCTCTAGCCTGTATTCATCTCTACCAAAGGCACAGGTGTCTTTCAGATCTTCAGTGAAACAGCCTCAGATACATTTGCAGGCTGGTTAACCTGTGCTACAGAAATAGGAGGGAAGCCCCTTGAGAGCTGCACAACAGTAACTGGCTATTTTCCTGCTCACACAGGTAAAATGAACATTCAGGAGTATTTCTCAAGAATTTCTTTTGATGGCTCCCATAAGGATGCAGACTTACAAACCTTAACAGCCATCTTCCAGCATCACATCCAGGCGATTCCTTTTGAAAACCTCAGCATGCATTGCGGAGAGACCATTGACCTGGATTTGCAATCTACTTACAATAAAATAGTGAAAAAGAAACGTGGTGGATGGTGCATGGAAACAAACTACCTTTTATTTTGGGCTTTGAAAGAAATGGGGTATGACGTCTGTGTGCTCGGAGGAAACAGTTATGACCCAGCAAAGAAGGCATACATTGATCAAATAAATCACATCCTACTGAAGGTTGTGATCAAGGGAAGTTCCTACATAGTAGATGCTGGTTTTGGTGGTGGTCCCTACCAAACATGGCTGCCGATGTTGCTGATTTCTGGGAAGGATCAGCCCCAGATTCCTGGCATCTTCCGCTTCACAGAAGACAGCGGCATCTGGTACTTGGAGAAAGTCAAGAGGAAACATTATGTTCCAGAGGGAAGTGTTCCTTTCTCTGATACTCCAGAAATGGGCAATATCAGAAAACTGTATTCATTCACTCTTGAGCCAAAACATATAGATGACTTCCAGGACCTAAACACATACCTACAAGTGTGTCCGGATACCATACTTCAGAAGAAGTCCATCTGCAGCCTCCAGACCACTGAAGGGTTTTATGCCCTAGTTGGATGGACCTTCTCTGAGATGAAGTACAAGTACAAGGAGGACACAGACCTGCTGCAGACCACAACCCTGACAGATGAAGAGATTGCGGAGACACTGAAAGAAAAATTCAACATAGTGTTAGAGAACAAACTGATACCAGTTAATGTTCGTGGCTTGCCACCTAATCTGGTAGATTCCATATAATTCACAACACAGCTAAATGAGTCTTTAAACGTCCAGTATTGAAACTTCTAAAACTAAC